CCTGATTAATTATCTAAACCTGACAAATCCCGTGTACACACATAAAAATAATTGTATATAAATGCGATTGTACGGCTATGTGAATGAATTCGCCGTTGAAAAGAGTCTCTTTGCTTTACGTCTTCTCTTTTTCGTATTAGTTTTTATTAATTATGAGGTAAAAACGTTTTAGGTGGTCGTCATTACATTTCTGGTTGAATATGTTTCAACTCCGCAAAAAATACTGAAATTTAGTTTTGACTCGTCGTAAAGACGTACATGTTTTACTTTTCAAATGTTCTAGGAAATCAGTTCACATCTCCCTATATATCTCATACCGTAATGTTGTTAGTGTCCTGTCATCGCCACACCATGTTTTGAAATGACAGACAAACGATCCAAAAATCTGGAAGTGTTTCATTCTTCAAAAGAAGAAAATAATAGTCATGAAAGTTATTTTGAAGCTGGACTTTCTATTGGTGCCTTACAGTTACTTATGCGTAAAGTTATATAATGCTAATCAACAACGAATATAAAACGTTATCGGCAGTTAGTAACGAAATTAGTCAAAATGTATCTGATATAATAGTGTGCCAGTAAAGTGAACAATAGTGCGTTATCAAAGGAATTGACGACTAACTGGTTCAGTGATGAACAGTCGCTTGTGAATAATTGATAATAAACAAATGAGTAAATATGGGTGGCCAGAAGTAAAGAGAGGGGTCAAATAGAGTTTATTACACAACAGTTCAAGAAAACGTGAAGGACTGACACCAAGGAGATGGCAGTAAACGAAGCTGAATGAAACGTGTCTCAACAAAACAGAAAAGTTAGTTGTTTTTGTTTGTATTAGATGGTTTGAGGCAATCGTCAGGAAGTCTTTGGCCTAGGTTTCGTGCTAATGTTACTCAGCAGGCAGCAAGGCGTGTCTACGACCTGAAAAAATTCATCTCTCATCCAGCATGGTGGCCACATTGCAAGTCAGACTGACAGAATTCATTCTGCACCAACGATTTGATTAGACACATACACATTACACCAGATACTCACTAGAGTCCAATCGGAAAGGTTTTCCTCTATGGATTGCTAAGGCTTCCATTTCATAATGATGTTGGTTAAAATCACTTGAATAAGTTTGTTGTACTGTGTGCATGATTATGATGGTGGGCTGAATGAATCACTGGGCTACCAAAAATTCTCGTCCACCAAAATTCTCAAACTCTTCTACATTTCTTATTGTTTAAGTCGTGCAGTTCTATCATATGAACGCCACATGAACTCGCACATCTAACCAGCTGACTTTCAACTAGAAGCTATGCAATTCTTGAAAGAAATGAGGAAAATACTTACAGAATAGGTTCTCTTCTCATATTCACTTACGCTACGTCACATGATATACTTCAGATTATCACATTAGAAATAAATACTGTATAAAGAGAGAATATTTTGGATCTAAATACGCTGAAAATTTCTGAAATGCATATGTTTATATACGGTTTGAGATAAAGGTTTATTATTAGTAGTATTATGAATGAAGTCTCTTCTGATGCTACGTTAACCAGAAGTAATAATGTGGTTCAATACTGAGATGTTGACTGCTCTACATTTTCCTTTTGACAACCATTCTAGTAAGTGTTGATGGGCACGCATAAACGGTATCCTTGTGCTACGACTTATTCATTTTTAGTGGTACGATGAAATCACTGTTATATATTTTCGTATTTTTGTAAATCATTCCCAGCCTTTTGTCTGTTTCCTGTACATTATTTCTTAATAATTGTTCATCAGTTAACTAATTACCCGTCAACCCTCTCAATTATGTAGAGTATACACGTATTGTTACTTCTGATAAACTTTGACTTATTTCGTTACTAGTCGACAATATCTTCTGACCATTGTGAATTGCCGTTTTACATAAAAACCCAATAATTAAATGTACGCCTTTGGAGAGAATTCGAGAAAAGTGGACTCTTTGATGACTTATGTATCCTCAAAATATGTATATATATATATATTTAAATAGGAGGCAGGAGAGAAAGAACATATATAATACTTTACAGAATATTTTTTCGTTTTTCGACGACTTAGATCCACTAGTCTTTTGGTTTGCCACATTTGAAGCAATGCTGTTTTCTGGCGCCCATTCATAGCGCCGGTGCATTGCGCTGCAGATCTCAAAATGTCTGTTACCACTAGTTAGATTTCGATGGTTCTATTTTGGCTGGAGGTGTGCTGAATGTGTGTTGTCACCTTCGAGACATCACCAATGTTCATAGGTTGTGCTGCATAGAACAGGTTTAATTGATGAGCGATATGTTCTGGAAAACTCTGAGTTAACTTTGACTTCAACAACTGCGTACCAAGTGTGGAAAGTGCACGACAAAGTATATTCCTAAGCTCCACCGCCGATACCAGATGGCATCCATCTGGTACCACATTTATGCTGTGGAACTACTGCATTACCCACCGTCTATCCTTCTGGCTGACAAAAATTTCACCGATACTTCATAGGTTAGCGCACCACCTGCCGGCTCCACACTGTTGCAAGCCAACTTTACCCGAACTCTCAGCAGAGTCTCCAGCAGAGCCGTCCTCACCGCCTAATCCTAGGAGCCAAACAAATTCACGACAACATCGGGGACCAGTAAGAGTATTCTAGCGTCACCTGCTTCGAAAGCAGCAAGCCGTGAAATTTATTTATTTTTTCTTTTTATTTTTGATTACAGCTTGATTCCACACCTTTTTTTTGGTACAAGTATGGAATTTTCAGCGTGGATATCGGTAGCCGAAAATTCGCAGGCCGACCATAGATATCAAGTGTGCGTCGGCGTGGGCTCGAACCCCGGACCATGTGCATGATCGGCGAGAGTCCTAACCACTGTGCCAACGACGCATATTGTCTCGAGATATTGGCACAAAATATTATAGCAGTAGACAATGAAACTGTTCACGGAATAAACTGTTCGCATATCTGTACAAATGTATAGGCAGATTTCAAGATCACTTGTCCTCGTTTTCTTCCACTTCAGTGTGTAACAAACAAAAGCGTAATATTAATTCCTTTCCTTCAATTATTCTCCAGTAATACTTCTTGTGAAATTAAACCACAACATTTCCAGTATGTTGGAAGCATAAACCATCTTGAAATTCACAGAATAGAACAAACACAAGTCTTGCTCCAATTTCGAGACAAAAGACTTAAACTAAAGTCTAACTAAGCACATGCAAACCCACCTACCTGCTTTGTTCCAGTATTGTGAAAATACAAAGATAAAAAGTGGAGATTGAGAAGATTGTCATTTTAGTAGGTAAGCAAACATATCTCTCTGTGTGTGTGTGTGTGTGGAATACAACAAAATAGTGAAGAGTGCAAAATGAAATTTGTCTCAGTAGTGAATAGACATGTGAAACCTCTCGCGAGTACTTGATGGGCGTCTGTGATGGATGGTTTGTAGTGTTTGTAAAATAATTGTATTATAGAAGTAAGGTAAAGGTGAAGAGACTGGGTAAATTCATAGGAGATGTGTATTTCATAATCTTCTCACGCATTATCCGATTTCATGGAGTGCTGATTTGATTATATCTAAATCTGCGATGTTGTGTCATCTTTAGAATTAACAAATGGAAGAAAGTTCATAGAATTAGTAAATTATTAATATTATTGTTGTCGTGGATTCTAAGTGGAATATTGGGCTTCAAAAACACAGCTCCAAATCCATTTTATTTCTAAATGCCTAATAAAAGATAAGTGTTTGTTTAGTCGGTTCCCATAGTTCCTTGTTGCTGATTCATTCTTACCAGCAATTTGAGCTTCGATATACAACAAGGGGAAAGCTGTTTGTGAAGATGTGTAGAAGACTTTTGGAGATGCTTTCCGTGATTCAGATTGCAAATGTCTGACCTTTTTAGCAGAACTGACTGTCTCAACAAAAAAATGTTTCACTTTATCAAAAACGTATATTTACTAATCTCCCTACAGTCTTCTCCACACCCTTGCTGACGACCAAGGCAACAATAATAATATTAATAATTTACTAATTCTATGATCTTTCTTCCATTTCTTAATTCTAAAGATGACACAATATCGCAGATTTAGATATAATCAAATCAGCACTCCATGAAATCGGATAATGCGTGAGAAGATTATGAAATACACATCTCCTATGAATTTACCCAGTCCCTTTGCATCTATCTAACCTCTACACTACAATTATTTTACAAACATTACAAACCATCCATCACAGACGCCCATCAAGTACTCGCGAGAGGTTTCACATGTCTATTTACTACTGAGACAAATTTCATTTTGCACTATTCACTATTTTGTTGTATTCCACACACAGACACACACAGAGATATGTCTGCTTACCTACTAAAATGACAGTCTTCTCAATCTCCATTTTTTATCTTTGTATTTTCACAATACTGGAACAAAGCAGGTAGGTGGGTTTGTATGTGCTTAGTTAGACTTTAGTTTAAGTCTTTTGTCTCGAAATTGGAGCAAGATTTGTGTTTGTTCTATTCTGTGAATTTCAAGATGGTTTATGCTTCCAACATACTGGAAATGTTGTGGTTTAATTTCACAAGAAGTATTACTGGAGAATAATTGAAGGAAAGGAATTAATATTACGCTTTTGTTTGTTACACACTGAAGTGGAAGAAAACGACGAGAAGAGATTTTGAAATATCTTCAGGTTTTGTGTGAGTCTTGAATATGGTATAGTAGATTTTACATACGAGTTAAATGTTGTATAATCTCCCAGTGGATTCCTTATTGTTATTTATTTCTCTATTATTTGGTGCAGGGAAATGTATTATTGAGCATAGTGTGTAGATTGACAACAATCTGAACAAACTTAATCCTTGTTTATATGAAATTAAACACTAAGTATCTTAAATGAAGTTTGGTTTCATAAGGAATTACTTGATGCGAAAAAATGTTTACAAGTGTTTCAAAAATATTGTAAAGTAAAATAGGTATATAAAACAACAGGTTGAATAGGGTTTCATGAGTAGAAATAATGATGATGAGCTTTAAATTTTTACTGACTGTTGTATTTTGTTACCTCGTAGTATTGGACTATACAAATGGTAAGTCTCATAGTAATTTGAGTATGGCTGTTTATTACGTAATTTCGCTTAAAAGTTTGGTGTTCCAAGTGGAACATAAGGCTCAGACAAGACCTTTTCACTCTGCTAGATTTTAATATCTTCTTTAGTTAGGTTCGTGATTGCCTAAAATTTCTCATTTCCTCCTCGTTACATGATATATTCCATGTCACCTTCGCACACTGACAACCAATTCGTCGCTTCCCATTGGGATTACACTAAAGGTATGTCGTGTCTTTAGGTAAATGTATCCTGACGGTCTCCTTAGCATGTTAGCGATCCTTCTCCATTTCCTACTGAATAATTGTTAAACAATAGGTTCCTGGTTAGTTTTTTTTACCATATTTACTTGTTGCTGATTGCTTCTCACCTGTCATTTGACCTCCTGTATTGCCTGAAGTGGTCGGCTGTTGACAAAACTGTGTAGTAGCCTGTTGGAATTGCTTTTAGTGATGCTCAGTGTAGGTTTCTCACCAGTATGGAAGAATCGACTGACTTGAGATTGGTGTTGAAAATTCGAATGTTGTTGTTCATGCTGAGGAAGGGTGAAAGAGATTTTCAAACTTATTTCAGATTGATGAAGGTGCATCCTGTCTCTCAGATCCTGGGTTTCAGCATCTGCATCCATACTGTCGCCCGTGTTTGAAACAACGCTACATGGATAAGTGAAGGACGTATCCTCTATCAATCCTCTCCCTTTGATGGTGACTGGTGTTGTCTGTTGTTAGTTGGTTATCTTCACCACCTCCATCATCTCTATGTTCACCCAGAGTCCCGCCTTCGTTGCCCACCTCTTCTGCCTATTTGTTCTTTTTCTTCTGGAATTCTTCGAGTTTGTTTGTCGTTCAACATAAGCCATCCAATAAAGCCAAATCTTCTAGAGTCTTCTTGTCTGTCAGTCTGACGTATCCCTGGTCTATCGCTACCAGGCACAGTGTGGCTCATAGTCCAGTTGAACACTGTTTCCAATATCATAGTTATAGTAGATAGACAGCCTTGTCTTACTCCTGTATTAACTTCGAACTCCTCGTTGAGTTCGTCATTGTGGATCATCTTTCATGGGGCACTGTCATATAGCCAGCTGTTGAATGACTTTTATAAAGATTTGGGCACTGCAAGTCATAGGGATGAAGCAGTTTTCAAATTACTTCTGTATCAGCGGATTTCGTCGAAGGCTCTTCCGACGCCAATGAATTTGAGGTAGAGATTTTACTGTCATTCTATGCTATATTCTGCGATGTTGACGGGTATAGATGTAATTTGATCAGCACGTGATTTGCTTTTCCTGAATCCAGCTTGTTCCGGTGAGGTGAAGTTCTTAATGCAGTGCATCTTTATTTCTCTCCAGGTGACATGGCTTAGTACTTTACTTGGCGTGAATAAGATCATTATTCCACGTCAATTCTTGCAGAGACCTAAGTCTCCTTTCTTTGGTAGCTTGACAAAGTGTTCAGCCTTTCTTTCAATTTTAGGGCATCTTTCCTTCCATCCGGAATCTTGTGCAATAATGGCGTCAGTATACCTGCTGCAGTCTGTGGTTCGTTTTCTGTGCTTCGGAGTGAATTCTGAGGGTTCTACCGACTTCCAGACTGAACTTTATTGGCCTTATCTTATTCTGAATTTCAGCTTTAGTTTGAGAATCAGTGTGTGCTGGCAATTCTGTGAGGGCTTTTGTGTGATTTCTGTGCGATTTGCAGCTGATGGAAAAAAGCGAAATTTAGGTGTTTTTAAAATTTCGAGCATTTAATAGAACTCAATAAAACGTATAAATCTGATGATGTGCTAAGTGGGATTTTCAGTAGGTTATTGGTATGAGTATACAACTTGAGCACTGTGGTAGAGTATAACTCCATTTTGGATAAGATTTTATTTTGATAAATCACATAGTATTATACAGTAATATTAACTGATGACGTTTCGAGCACAATCTATTGCTCATAATCGTATCAACTTAATATGATGGAGAAGTTAATTCGCTCAAAAACGCTGTGAAACTTTGTTAAACTTATATGTACCCATTATGTTATGTGAAATTGAAATAGCATTTAGGGCTTGCTGCCAAAATTGTTAACTTAATGCTACTATTATTCAACGAAACAAGCTATATCAATTTGTACTGTTGTGCTACTGCGTGAATAAACTTTTTATTTAAGAACACATGGGTCAGTAAGGAGGCTCCTATATCTAGCGTCTCTTTTAAAATATACAATTATTTAGAGACATATATTTAGCGTCAAAACTCGGCTCGTTTTTATCTGAAAGTAGGAAACCTATCTCTGCTTTTTTTGTATGGCTGACAAATATTTCTTGAGACACGTCCAACCACGAAACGCTTCAAGGACGGGAAAACGATGATTATTCTGGAGTAACTTTGCACTTCTGTTAAACAAAATAACATCAAGAATTCAAAGTAACCTCTAGAAAAAGTACAACACGACAACTTAGAATCAAGTAAAATATTCATCACGCCATCTGCGAGATATAAACATTAACGCTTCTCCTGTACAGTTCATGTCAGTAATGACACTGGTTCACTCAAGCTAAGTCACATCGTTCAGCACGTCACTTTACACAGAATCATGAAGAGATGCATTGAAGTTATACATTAAACAAGGACAACGATAAATAATAAGGATCAAATCAACATGTGATATGTAAATATCGAAATAGTGTTATACATTTCTGGATAAAATCGGATAATAATCAGAAAGTCAGTTGCGGTGTCTGGATAAGCATACACATTTAACCATACAGAAGGGATTTCGAAATCATGGTTTTCCTGAAAGTACATTAATAGCAGATTATCCGACAACATAAAACATAGATTACTGTCAGTTATTAACAAACTAAGTTAAAGTTTCTGAGAACTATAATGTGTGGAAAATACCAAATATTCTTAAATAACTGGAGCACTGACACCTAATTGGTGCTCCAGCTGATAACAATCCCTGATCAACTTGAAAAATAAACGTACCTCGGACAAATGAACCCTTGAAAATTAATTGATGCTCTCTAGTGACTTGCTACAGGATGGAGTTTCCTGGAGTTATAGCTAGAAATCGTGACCAGTGAGGTCCATCCAGTCAAGTGTGAGTTCCCGCCGATGACATCGTTGGTGGTCGCGAGAAAAAACGGATTGATGGAAGTTAAAATTCATGGGCTGACCTTTGAATCGGGTACCAGTGCTATACGAGCTTGTCTTGTAACTGGAATGTTCTGGCTTCTAACCTCTTGTGGTGGGAACGTACTCCCGATGATCCTTAAACTAGGATGAAACATCTGTCCAATATTTCCTGACTGGTTTTCAATGGTTCTCAAACTGATATTGATCCGCGATCAAACTCGGATAAACAAATATAATCCTTACAGATCAACTCAGCAATGAATAATCACTGAGATCTTAAAAAATATCATATGCTTTGAGAGAGTTGTCGAAATCCCCCTATTCAATTCAGAGGGGAGTTGTTGTCGAGATTAGTGACGCAGCAATGAGTTATACGTTTGAAAACCCAATTCAAAACCATGTCAAGTAAGTTAGCAATCCGAAATATACACAGTCGAGAGGGGGAGTAAACTTGATTTATGGCAATACCAGTTAGCCAAATTAACTACCCAGAAATTGGGTAATTTCAACTGACTAGTTTCTCGCTCTGAAGGAACGAAATGGCCGACCGGTGTTTGTTTAGGTCAATTCGATTTGACTAGCAAACCCAGCTAGTCGATGTCAGTAGCATGTTATGCAAATACCTATCTCAATCAAGGAATAGTACGCAGTACTTTCGCTAATTCCGTTAATGAAACCAGTTTATGCTAAAAGTAGATAATAATCTCCAATTTTCAAGGTTCATGAAACAATAATTAGGCTATTTTTAATGCATGTATCTTAAGGCACTGATTGTCTAAAAATAATCGTAGTAAATTGTATGATTTAGAAAAAAGAATATGAAACTCAGAGAATAAAGCAAACATTGTTGTTTCGATAAATATTTACTCAAACAGCAAGTGCACCACTTCATTCGATCAGACCACCTTAACTCGAGAGTAAATAAATAGATTAAGTGTGTGTGTATGTGTGGGGAGGGGTCGAAAACAGGGTACTGCCTATTATTACATAATCAAATACACAAAGCAGAAATGCACAAATATATATAAATAGGGGTATCAAATAAGCGATCATATGAAAGTAAATTTCACTACACACGAAAGATGAAGCCAATATTTCTAATCGCCGTCATTCTTTCTGTTTTTATAGTATGCGAAAGCAAACGTCGTGAGTTACAAATTTATCTCAGTGATACATTTTTTATTGATTTTTCCAAATAGCTATTCACTGGAATGTATTCATTTATTCCATTGGCTTAATATATACATTCACATTTGTGACTGACTTTGTGAAGACACTTCATAAAGTGTTGGTATCTCACTTAAACTCACTTATGTGGTTGATCAAATTAAGAGAATGTAAACCAATCATGGATATCCTTATCGTTGGATTGAATTGTTAGTGGAGTGTGAGTTGATTCTCTCCATCTGTTGATTGCATCTTGTGCCAACGTGTTTATGCGTGCGTGGAAATCTTTGATAGAACGAGAAGTACTTTATCACCCGTTGAAAAGTATTCTCACCACTGACTGAGAAACACTAAATAATACTATCAAATTGTGTTAAGTGAAAGATGAGAAAAACTATTACCCATGAAATACCACCATCAGAGATTAAAGCTGAAATTCCTATAACTTCTGTGGAACAGTCTGTCTGTCTGTTTATTTGTTTTCGACAAAGAACTTTGCACCAGTTCAAGTCACCATACTCCATGTAGAACACATAGCAAGAGAAGATAGTAAAAAGAAATTCAAAATAGAGACAGTAAACAGAGATATGAGGCAAAAAACAATAGTAATAAAGAATAATATGGTTTCATTGGAAATTTTAAGTCACAGAGAGTGGATGCATCTGCGTCATCTATTGAGAACAATTTTGAGCCTTATCACCGATTGTCTCCAGCCATCGGTTTTTATGGTCCCGAGGACCTCAACCATGAAGCCAGCCTACAACTTCCTACGTGACCAGCTGGCTTAAACCAACTGTTGTGAATTTTGTTGGCTGATACCACGTTTTGGTTTGACCAGCGCTAGCTCTTTTCCAGGATGATACTCTATCAGCTAACACTGGTCATTGTCGAGGAAGGCGTATGTAACACATATCCTAATCATCTCAGTCGATGTAGCTTCATAGCCTTGTCGATTCATTTCCCCTCCTTACTTAGCACTCACTTGACACATGATCTTAATATTACTCGCTCTGTTTTACCATTTCACAAGGGAGATATAACGCAGCCACCTATTATCAAAGACAGCTATCCAGACTTTCCATGTCTTCTGCTCTCACTGGCCATGTCTCGGTAACAGCGAAAGAGGAGGAGGGAGCGAAGTAACTGCTGAGCAGTAAACACGCCCTTTGTTTGTTATCCAGATATCGCACGTTCTGTATCTGTGCTGAGATTTCGTCAGAGATCTACCCGTTGGTGCTGGTGGTACTTCCTAAATAAGTGAGGCGGTCAACGTGATCTACCACTTCACTCCACACTGCAACTTAGTCAGTGAGTATGATTTGATACCTAGCATATATTTTGGCAAATAGATATTTTTAAGCAAGCATATACGCATTTACGGAGAATTCTCGTCAGGCTTCATACAACTATATAATAAAATATCAGGCATAGAAATTTGAAACCAATGAAAATGACCGTTAATTTCTTTTGTAATTCACATAAATATACTGCTGTATAGGTCTGAAAATGAAATCGTCGAAAAGAGAATTTTCCCCACTGAATTCTTTATTTTTATGTCTCAATGAGGATTAATTACTTAATGTACAACTAGAATATTACATTTGTTTCAAACGAAAATTTGAGATAAACAATGCACTGTCTAATCATATATTTTACTAAATAAATCCTACATACACAAATAAAGTACAATATATATGTAAATATATATATATATATATATCAATTGTCAAAATTTCGATTCCACTTTCAGCTACTTATAGTAAGTGCCAAACGTTTACACTCTTTATAGATGAATTCGGTGGTATTTATAACTATTGCTCCTCTGATTCAAACACATGCTTAATACTATCAACAGAAATATGAAGAAAAACCAATTTAATATACTTGTTGTGAACTCTTTTGGTGGAGTAATACGCAGAAGTGAAGGAAATCATGCAAGAAAACATGTTTAAATTCGTACAAGCAGGCTGTTTGCATTATGTCCTTGAGTGTAGTAGTTTAATTATTCCTGAACGCATAAATATGACCGTAAGATTGCTTAATTGAAAGCGACAGGTCTGATAAAGAACTAATCGTTTTCTCGACTGCCATTGTTAAAAAGGAGAAGTGAAAAATTCAGGGGAGATACAATCCAACAAGGATGTACACTTTTCAAGGCACAGAAAACGTATCCGTCCCTGTCAACTGTATAGGCTTCCATTTAAACAGTGCACTCAGTTAATGATTATGAGCCTATACAGCATTAAACCATTAGTTACCAACATGGTAATTTATTGGAGCCTTTTCGTGAGTGAACATATTATTGTTTTTACAACTTATATTGCAATCGATCAAAGTTTATTTGAGGGATATTTCACCTTTTACAAACTAGTCGTAGACTATATGTCGTCTGTACAAGCAAATACATTTCAATAAAATTTCTGCGCACACGGATTTGTCAGACACTTGTCATCTACCGCAACCGTCTGATGATCGGGGGGCAAACAGGAGCTGAATTAACATAAATCCATGTAACTAACAACACTAAGTTAATTCATCATCTGAAGGTGATACCATAGAAAAAGCAGAAACTGCTATGATTTCACGAAATACATTTTGAGCCCTGTTTTTTTTATTCTCCACACTTTTCATATATTTAACAGCCGTACCAGAATATCGAAGACGTAAGTAATAGTGCTGAATAAGGTAACAGTAATCCTGATGAATATTTTATGCATGGGTTTTACTCAAGATATTTATAGACTTGATTTTTAACAAGATTATTATTTAAAGTGTTTATACATTGACGGTTATTGTATACATTTCTACACAGTATTGGTGCGATTGCTTGCATGTGAGTTCATTTCATTGATTTTGTTTAAACAGTGCAGTTTATCAGGTATATAATAGACCTTGTTTGAACAACAGGTTTGAGTGACAGAACTATCAAAGTTTCAATTCATTACCTATTATCTTCTTGTATTTATTATTGTATTATCCTGTTGCTTTCCTACTGGAGTGGAGGACTTTTGTCTTGAATAACTATTTTTAAATTATTAATTTTGGAAGAATTCATAAGTTAAAAATAGATTCAAGGGTTAAATGTGCTTTCTCACGGCCATTCTCAATGTTTGAAAGCAGTGAATAGTTTTCAAATTACTGTTAGTTCACAATAAAATGAGATTTTATGAGGTCTTGGGTGTGCTTTCTGGATTTTCAGATGAAAGACAATTTTTAGGTTGGCGGTTGAACATTAATGAGAGAGATTCCAATTTACCTCTGCTCGAAGGAATTTTTCTATCTCCAACAGTTTGCTTTATCGAATATCCTTATGAACTTACCATCCTCAAGAAGTGCGTACGTAGATTTTGGTTAATTTATATGCACTTCCTTCCTGACTGTAAAACACATTATGATTCAAATCTATGGATATACCATTCACACAGATAGAAAAGAAATGTGACATAAAGGAGAGATGTTTCGATTCTTGGTGTTTATTACCATCGTAATATGATTTTTAAAAAGATCCTTGACGACATGCTTTGTGAAACAGACTTCTGTGTAAATGTCATCATCATATTATAAAACCACTTTTTTTATTGATAATGCAATATAATGCAATTCTTCCAAGAATTCTAATCGGATCTATTAGATGAGATAAGCTGAGCAGAAATTAAGAGAAGCTATATCACAATTATAGCGCACAAGAATTACTATATTTTCGATGAAATACAGAACCATGTCTGATGACATGGTATATTTATGTTTAAACGGCGGTAGTATAAAACCCAGTTATTACCATGGTGTTAAAGTGTTATCCATTGTGTGTACATGATTGATTAGTAAAAAGAGGTTAATTTTCCCCGTAAGAGTTATAGACGATAATTTGGTATTACTAATCAGGACATTTTCTATTGGGTTTGACCGAATACACTAAACTTAGGCTTACTCTACTTGTATATTCATATACATATACATATACAACCTTTGCATGTGAGAGACCAGAAAGTATTGCATATTGACATAAAAGTAGTAAGAGAATAGTGACTGAGATTGCGCAATCCAACAGTAACATGTTGATGAACCAACGGATTTACTAACAGTCACCGCAAAAGACATTGAGTCGGTGGCACAGCGTTACAGTACTTGCCGACCACGTAGGTGGTCCGGGGTTCGATCCCCGATCGACGCACTCGTTTACTTCGCTATGCCAGTAGTAAGACTAATAAAGAGGGAAGGTTGAGCATGAGGCTGGCAACTCCATCCTGTAAAAATAACCCCCATTGTCACAGAAACTTCAGGCCTGTAGGTTGAATCCCTATATTCCACTGGGAACGTAAAATAATAAATACCAACAACTGCAAAGGACTACGTTCATACAGGGTTTATGAATAAGTAATTTCATATATTAGTTTCGGGGGCATAGTTAAGCTGTTTTCAATTTCTCTGCTTAAAACAACTAGCAGTATTCGAAATTTTATTCTGTAGTTATGATGTTTATATCTACCATTTCGTAATTTTTGCGTTCACTCTGTAAAAGAGCCTTCAATTTCAGCAATGATAAATTACAATAGAAAATGTTTTGACCGTTTTTTATCCATATTCATAATGAAATAATACTGCATCTATAAACTAAAAAAAGTTGTCAAAATTTAACTTTTTGTAGGTGAAGAAGAACGTAAGTCTTGAAAATTATTGAAAAAACCACCTATTATTATTACCTGTTATATTTTAAAATTGAATTCTGAAAGTGCGTGATAATCTCACCTAGTTTCACGTTTCAGTCTGCGACCACAGCAACTCCAACATCCCATTTGCAAGTGATGCTCAGTTTATTTTTACAAGAACTCAGAATCTATCTCTCTGATTAACTTCGTGACGAAATTCTCTCCAAATGCAATCATCTATTCACGAAAATAAGCCCTGAAAACAATTTTATTATTTATTTTTGATTGTAGCTTGATTCCACACTGTATTTTTGGTACATGTATGGAATTTTTAGCATCGATATCGGTAGCCCAAATTTTGCAGGCCGACCATAGATATCAGGTGTGCATCGGTAGGGCATGGAACCTCGGACAGTGTACATGGACGGCGAGAGTCCTAACTACTGTGCCACCGACGCTACTGTGAATTGCTAAGTTCTGAAGAGGATGTTTGACAGAAGTTATTTAACGGATCGAGTATGGTGAGTGATACTCGTCAAATCACTTAATTAGCACTGGAGAAATGCGTTAGATTATTGTAAAATAGAATCGATGTTGGGTGATTGAGTGAGATCGACAACAAGCCATAAGAGTAACTCACGGGCTTGTGTAGTTATTCGTTATCAAAGGTAACGGCTTACTAGTTTGCCCATTGTAGTCCTACAGGAAACTGGATTCCAGAATGAATGGCTGAGATTTAATGTTCAGCAGTGAGTGACAAGGATCTAAATATTTAGCAGGGCATCACGTCCATGGAGTTCACAGACAACACTGAGAATCATTTTATTCTGGATAAACTGTTGTTCTGGCTGTATTAAGAAACATAGGTTCACAACTACCTGGTAAAATACAAGCAAACTGCTGTCCTTCCCCATGGACACCAAATAGTTGTGTGATTGATATCCGGTCGGGCCGAAAACAGCTTTGAAACCGATCCTCTCTCCAAAAACCTAACACTTCAACATTTCAAATGCATGTAGCTGTCGAAAATCGTCAATTATCATGAAAAACAATCTTCTTGGACTTATAAAACCACAGAAACACATACGCAAAGTATCTCATGAATCACTTTCAGATACTGAATGAAACAATTGGGTTCTAACTTTGGAATCTCAGAAATGGAGGGAGGTGTTGCAGTTTTCAACAGACCGATAATACTTCTTTTCAGGACTTACTAGCATTCATAAAACTGGATAAGGTTTGAAAGTGCATCGGTCAGGAAAGAAACACAAATCACGTGGGTGATTGGCTGGCATTCTGTTGTTCAACCATTTCCGTAGGGAAGCTGTCATGCAAGGGTGATTTAAAATATATAGTCTAATGAATATTATTTATATTTACAATGAGCCAGTGGATTGACATTACATAGACCAAGTGAAATGTGATAGGGAATCCTGATTATCAAACCTTTTAACAGACTAAACTAAATTGGAGTTCTCTGAACTTGTCATGCGTAGTTATTTTATTTTCATTGTTTAAGAATAATTTCATATGAAGTATTGGAATAGAACTAGGGAACTGTAGTACAGTATAAATCCATTATGGATAAGGTCTAAAAATATTTTACAGGAATATTTACTGATGACCACGTTTCGAATGCAATTTATTAGCACTCATAATCATATCACGACACTGCTCATATAACTTTCTAACTTCCTGCATATAATTCCATTATTTTTAACCTCTTGATTTGATCAGTAGTAATATTTTTCATATCTCTGGTACAGGTGATGAGAAATTCCTATTGCGTGTGCTAGGTGTAGACTATTCGACGGACAAGGATTCAGTAGTGCCTGTCCTTCTACCTGCATTACCTGGTGTCGAATAACTATCCCGAAAAATTCACTAGGAAGATCAGAAAAAGTCAGAAATAAAATATTGGCGAAACTAACAATTATAACAGAAACAGGAAGGGACATAAATCATCTACAGTTCTACAATATAAGGAAAGGGAGACCTGAGGCTTTAAGTGTAGGATTTTTAGTATGGCAGGAATTCGGGTGGCATTTTGAACCTACAAACTCACTCAGGGTCACGTTCGGTAGATTAAAAGACACTGAAGGTTCACCCAGTTAGAGAAAACAATATAATTTAAAAAGTACCTTGTAAGTTAAGTTAACTACATAGGTCAAACCAGCATAGAGTGGGTAGTTAGATTGTTAAGACATAAGCATTTGTTGGAGGAATTCATCATGAGCTGAAATCAGTTAGAGGACCATTGAAAAACCTCCAACCAATCAAACGAAATTCCTATAAAAACCAATACTTGAAAAATATAAGAATTTAGCTAAGGTTAGAATAATTTACCCAGCCAAGATAAGCTATTTTGATAAAAACTCAGTAATGTACTCCATGTATTAACAGACAACTAAACAGTAATATGGGACAGAGGCGAAATTCTCAAAAGTAATGCAGGTGGATTGACAGGGAATCTGATTACTGAGTCCTTGTTCATCAGATAGTCTACACTCAACACATGCAATAGGACTGACTCTTCAACAATACCAGCGATGTGAAAAATATTACTGACAATAAAAGCAATTAATGAAAAAATAATGAAATTATATAAACGAAGTTAGAAGGTTGCATGAGTATTGTTTTGATACGACTATGAATGACAATAAATTGTGGTCGAGACGAGGTCATATTATTACGTAATCCTGTGAAACTTCATCAAAATAGAAAATATTTTTATCCATTATGGGATTCATGCGATGTAGTTTGAAATCGAGTTAAAGTATCGATGCAATTACTTACAGTGAAACATTTTAATTTCTACAGCACTGAATAAGACAAGTAAGCTCAAAGCAAAATGTTTCTTTTCATTAGTGCTTATAATGATCCCAAATTTAAGTAGTAGTAGTATATGTATTTCATGCAGCCGGTTCTCTTTATTTGTTTGAATCTGTCTGTTCTGTCTGTTTTCGACATAGAACTTTGCACAAATGTGCGACAGTTCAAGTCGCCACATTCCGTGTAGCACGCGAAGCAAGAGAACAAAGTACAAGAAAAGCATAATAGAGACAGTGAGCAGAGGTGTGAGAGAAAGGAGTAATAAAGTAATACAAAACAGTTTCATTGAAGATCATAAGTCACAGGGAGTGGATGCATCTGCGCCACTGAGAACGATTTTGAGCCATGTCACCAATTGTTTCCAACCATTTGTCTTTACCGTCCCGAGGACCCAGCCTGGAAGTCTACACCTTCCTACGTGGCTAAGACCAACTGTTGTGGATTTCATTGACTGATGCCAAGTTTTTGTTTGACCGCCGCTAGCCTTTTTCCACCCTGACCCTATATCCGCTAACATAGCTCGTCGAGGGAGGCGATGTATATATGTTTGAATACAGGACACATATTTGCAGGATAATACAGCCTTCTTATTTTTCGTGGATTCACTTGAACTGGATACAGCCTAAACGACAAAATCAATTATAAGTTACTGAATGCTGTCTGAACATACGTTTCTCTCAGTTATGCATAGAAAGTATAGGCAACATAACTCCAAACGTGATATAATTAGACGAATCATTCAGTGTTAAACGAGTAAGTGTTTGTAGTATAATTAGACCAGAGTGTGATAGAGTTCAGATTTCACTTGGAAATATGTATGAACTAGAGACAAAATACAAGTTAATTTATGCATATTATCATGAAGAGTTCAGACACGATTTGAAGTGCATAGTAAAGTATAATTATAAGATAGACAAAATAGTTTAGTATATTTAGAAGCTTAATAATGAGTTCTACTCAGGAAATGAAAGTCAAAATCAAATTTAGGTGGAGTGTTATGCAACTGAACAAAACACAAAAGCATTTGAGCAAAACACTCACCGTTACCAATGTAGTGAGACATTAGCCACACTCTCTTTCTGTATAGAGCAGTGGCTTCTGAGAACCAAAGTAACCATGGTTTTTTCTGTGAAGTGATTATTTTGAAATCCTGTCTAGTTTTCACTGTATGTCCCGTACCAATTAAGGGTTTAGCAGTTGCATTTGAAAACACTTGGTCACTTTCCAAAGGAGACTTTTAGCGATATGATCTGAAAATCGAATAGAATCCTACACTTTCTATCTTTAACTCGCAGTCATCGTAAAAAGTATGTTCAGATAGCCTTTTGTGACTGATAATTGATTTTATTCAGGAAGTAGGCAGTTTAAGACAACTCAAACAAATAAAATGCACTCGTATTAAATGTTCACGCTTTCTTTACTCAAATTACAGTGTTCATCAAAATAACATCAAAATAATGTTGAACTCTTGCGTGGTGCTAACGTTTCACCTCATGAAAGTCTATTGCAAAACCGAATAATATACAGACGTTTGAATTGTTTCACTTATGATGACCTATGATGACGAATTTTATAATTTAGCCAAAGATTCAGCATTACGATAATTACAGTAGTATGCTTATTTCAAATGTGAAAAGGTTTCATATTCCAAACGATTTCAAGCAGGATATTTACGTCATAGTACACTGAGGATTGAATTTCGAGAGTAGATATCTGTTTAAATATATTGCCTGAGAAAGGTGTACACCGTATCATCATAAAGTAAATATGAAGCACATATATATATCAAGATTTTCCTTGCGGAAATTTAGTCATGTTAGTGTCTGAGGTTTAGGTGGTAGTTCAGGAGACAATGACAATATTTGAACATTATGAAAGCTGTGTTGATTCCAGTAATTTGAATACGTACTCAAGAGACTAGTGTTCAGTAGCGAGATCAAGATGACCTGATGTTAGTAGATACACTTGGCAATGTCTGTAGAGCAGAGTTATGACTAGTGACGATTGGATCAAATATAAACAATGAAGTGTTATGTTTTAGCAAGCCATTCGTAATTCAATTTCTATATATCTTTATTGAATCTACTTTGGAATAAAGAATACTGTTTAGAATATTGATTCAATATTCCCAATGATTCTTTAGAATTGAACGGTAAGACTTTCATTTAATACAGATATATTCACTTCTCTTCGCATCAGCTTCAGAGATAGCTTAGCAAGGCGCATTTAACACCTTGACAAGTGAGACAGGAAGTATGCGGGTGATTATAAAGTGAGAGCCTTTGATATACATGGCAACTCAATAAATTTAAGTTTAAATGCGATGACCACCAAATCGGTCAATTTGTCTCAGAAATGCGCGTTCACTGAAGACAATAACTATAATCCATTTAACTGAGTGGATATGTACAGTGGAACATGATAAAAAGGGTAGTTGTGTTATTGACTAAATTCACTTGTGAAATACACACATTCCGCACAGTATACGCATATAAATTTCCTGTTCGGACGATCTAACGAGCATTTTTAATGTTGAATTGTTAGGTTAAAGAAGTATAGTAATAATCAGTCAAAAATATATTGGAAATTTTGGAAATGATGAATGCCACTTTATGGCACAAAGTCAAAAATATGAAATGCTTCGAAAATGACTGGTGATCATTTATTAGAAGACCTTGAGCCAATGAGTCCTGGGTAATTGTAATTTAGGAATTGGTTTCTTTCCACTATACTTCAGATTTGTCAAAGTAAATGAGATGAGGCATAACACTGATAGGTTATCACAGTGAATGTATAAAAACACGAGGAGAGTCATCCATGAGTCTTCATTTTACCCCTTAGATCATCCGCTAATTCTATATGCCTCAAGTTTAAAATTGTACTATGCGCTTGTTTTAAAATATGACTTTGCCAGATAATGGTGATGCTGGTAATTTGTGCATTTTTTGCTTTCGATGATTTTCAAATGTTAGAGTTAGCTAGTAAGTGTCGAAAATGTTGGCTTTTAGCCCTAATAACAACCATGAAAATTATGTTCTATGTTGACTAATTGTTTTAATCCTAAGTTTCAAATGGAAACCAAAAACGGAGTTCATTACCAGAGCCTTTATTTGGATGTACGCTAACTGGTGTACAATGGTAGTATTTTTAGGCGCAATCGTAAGAACATTTGTAAAAAGCACGGCCGAACTTATCTCCTCTTGTCCTTATATATATATATATATATATATATATATATATATATATATATACGTTTATGCACAAGTTCATTAAGTTATATGCCTTTGATTAGATTGTGTGTTCTGAGATGGTCGATCCAACCGCGAAGTTTTCCTTGTCCTTCCAGTATGAAATGAACTTATTTGAATTCTCGATTAATGATGATATAGTTGTATCTCTTGACAACCATTGTCGTGGCTGGTTGTTAACCTACATCTCTGTTGATCATTTTATTGACTTGAGATTTGGTCTATCTTGTCATGTGGAGCTTATTCTTTATAACTGACAAATGTGGTCTACAGTAACGTGTTTCTTAATCGCTGGTTTGTCTGAGTACCAGGCTCCTAGAATTTCTGTGGCACTTTTGGTCTTTCCTCTTTTCAAAATGTGTACATTGATCCAGTCAAATTGCTGTCCGTGATTGTCCACACGCTTTGATATAAACGAACGCATATAGGATCTCTACACGGCTAATTTATGTTTTATGATTCTGGCTTTACGGAAACATCCAATTTGACTAAAGTAGTATTTATTCCAGGAAATTCAGTTTGTCTTCTAAATAATATCGATCTAACATTCTTTTGGTTTTGGATCCTTTGGTTTGCAAAGTTTCAATGGAGTGATTGTGCTGGCTTGTGTGCTTTATATTTTTCAACTGGTTCTAGTATTCTAGCCATTAATTCATGCATAGTCTTTGTGCATACGGCAAAATGAATTTTTTGTGCGATCTTTGATTGTGGTTTCTTGTTGATACTCCAATTTGAGTTGAAACAGGTTTCGATAAAGTTACACGACTGCTCATTCCTATTGAAGACAGTAGGTGGATATTTATCTTCTGTTTTCTCCAGCACTGAAGTCATTTAAACAATTTTCCGTTGTGTTGTATTGGATTATTGCATTTTATAGTGGAGTATTTGGTCTGTGTCCGTTGGTTTTCTACATGCTTCCATTTCTAAATCTTCCGTGTTAGCTTCCTTGATTACAACATCTAAGAATGCAATTTCGTTACCTAATTCTTCTTCTCCTTTAAATTTAATGTCTTCAAATATGTTGTTTATTGTTTTTTATCTAAAGATGAATATCGTAAGTCTCTTTCTCTTCTATATAATATGTAAACTAATAAAACTTGATTTTATATTGGTTCAGTGACAATTCAATAATCCTGTTAATTGAAAGTGAAAGAGTATACTGAACTGAAACATACATAATGCATTAATTTTTGTCCAGCAGTCATTGACCCTTAGAAGGTTCTGTCGAAATATCATTCTTGAATATGACCACCATTTGAAATGGTTGCATAATACGAAATACGCTGCGTAACCGCTATAACTATTTGTAGCTCAAACGCACGTAGTGTATGTCACTTTAAGAAACACAACAATGAAAATCTTCTAAACACACAGTGATCTGCTGTATTTTCAATGTTAATTTGAAGAACATAGTCAGAGTGTCATCTAGTGAAATACGCTGAAAAGTATGGCTCACATCATTTCTCGTTTTCACTACCGCCAGTAATAATTGAAATACGTCCTTACGATGAACTCTTTAACACCATTTCTTAATTTGACTGTTACATGTAGATGCCTGAATCGACTCGTTCAGTTGATGAATTTGATATAACATAAGGAAGATGTGATTCATCTGAATCGTGTGATGCACTTATGCAAAACGCTGTGAAAACTTAGCCGATAAATGTTTTCGTCAAACAGCGCATGCCTATGTGTAAATAGAAAATTTATCTTTACGTTAGAATAAACTATAAGTTGTCTGCAACAGCAAATTAAATCGTAGGACTCGAAATACCTTGAAGATGGTTTTTCGCTGTCTTTAGTAGCGAAGACTGCCGTGGGACTGAGTCAACAAGTTTATTTGAGGACACATTCTAAGTTGTGTTCCGTGTCCACCTTTTTCTGTGTACCTAAATGTGACAAAACGGCTTTTGTATGTGAAACGTATCGTGACCGAACACAGTGAATTGAAAACGTATTCATAAATGAACACATTTTGTGTATTCACAAGTTATTTCTCATAACATTGGGCTGATTACTAAACTGAGGGCTTTTTATGTATCAAAATAAATTAGATGTCAGCTGAATTACCCCTTCTTATTTTCCTGTCAAGATGTTTCGATAGCGTTTTGCTGATTCTTCTATGCATCCTACACAGTTATCATGCCGCTTATGATTTAACATCATCCCTGAATTGTACAAAAATGTTGATGATTACACCAAGTGATTTCATCCGAAGAAATTATGCTGCATGAGATAGATTCTGTATTATGCATATTAACTTATGATTTCACGTTGGTTGGTCAGATACAGTTTTCCTGAAACTGTCTCATATCTGATTTCAATTAAGTCGTAGAATTTTTAGTAAACGCCTCTTCTTTTCAAAGTCACCTACTTGATGATTGTTGGAGGTAATCAGGAGGAAGCCTTGAGCCTAGATCTCGTACCAGTTGGCACTCACCAGTCGGAAAGGCGTAACTGCAACCGCCTTGAAGGCACTCATGTCCCTTTTGAGATTCTAACCAGCATCAGTCAGCGCTGCCTGCAGCCAGAGACGTTACCACTGATCCATTCGAGCTCGCAAGTGACCTCTTGTACGACTACTGTATTAGATACTTTCATTGGATTCTAGTATCTAGTGTCCAATCAAGTTAACGTCAGTTATGTTTTATTCCACTTCTTTCTTATTATGTTTGGACAAATTTTTCATTATCTTGAATACAGGCAGAGCTGGTGAGTTTTCTTTAAAGTGCCACCGTATCTTAGTTGAGATTCATTGGTTCATATTTAGATAATTTTTGTTTCACAATTAATCATCCTATCCCAAAATGAGATCAGACGATATTGGTGGAGGAATTTTTTCCATCCCTCTACGGTTGTAAAATTTTAGTTCACAAGAAATAGTTTTTATAAACACACTCAAAATTGGAATGTTTTAACAACATCTCAGTTGTGCTGTTTGATGTTCTGGTTTGAAACGTTTGAATGCACTCTGACGACATATGTTAGAGAGCTTTTAAAATTCGCCCTAGAAAGTTAAAATTATATGCAGTTGGCTATTCATTCAAGAGGAAAGGATTACAATTTCTATTAATTTCAAAATTTACTGTACACAGTTCGAATGACTGTGCGAATATGGAACCGAATTTCTGCTTAATTATTGGAAATTCATGGACGTAAAAGGAAAAGAATTTCACACAACATTCAGAAAACTTCGGTACCGAATTCAAGTGGTTTTTCCATCATTCTACGTTATGGATCCCCATTATTTTACAGTTAAGTCACATGAGGTATCACAGGTTTACTCATGGTAAAAATATGAATCCCCTTTAGGACAGAGTTCTAAGAGTCATAGTTTGAGGGCTAAAAACTCGGCTAAAGACATTTTATTGAACTGAATTCTTGATGATGTCTGTTGTTTCTCTTCTAGTAAACTGTAAGTGTATATTTTTTAACAAGTATTACACTGGTCCTTCTAATTATGGTGTCATAGACTTATGTGAATCTCTATATTATGTACTGTCACTCTTATTGATTAGCATTCACTTCTAAACAGGTTGAAAATCTACTTCAGTAATTACTATGGAAGAGTGGTATTCAGATGAAATCGAACTGTAAAGGATTACTGTGCGTATTTGTTCACACCACTTAGTTGCAAAAACGCAGACAATTCTTTATCTGATATATTCGTCAGTCCCCAGTGGTGATACTTCGACAGAAAATGATTGGCGGCAAGAAATCTCAATTTTTTTGTTTACCGTGTAACAACAGAAGACAAGGGCTGGCAACAGATCGTTTTATTACGAAAATCAACACGTATTTATATATATTTTATATGCATTAATAAGGCTTATGCAAGCAGAAAAAGGCAGTCTTCTCATTGGTTGTTTCTGGGAAGTTAAGCAGACAAACACAGTCTTATGATTGGTTGTTTTCGATATTTCTCGGAAAGTAGAGCCATCTATCTGCGAATCATATTTGTCCACATTTAAGTTTGCTGTGATTGGTTGTTGAAACGGCCTTGTTCATATTTTCTCACGGCCCATATTAGTGACCTAAACATTACCGTAGATTAGTGTCAACCAATCGGCTAGCAGCCTGCTCTCACCACACTCGTCCCCCCGTCAAATAGCTTCGTACGCAGACGTTCCGACCTTCTGGGTGCTACATCCCCTAGTTGAGGATTGTTACTGACTGGCTTGTCCCACTGTACCCATCTTTGGAGCTGACTGGCGTTAACTCGTTTCTGTTTATCACCTCTTCGGATGGTATATACTTGACCCCGTCTTTTTGTGATTGTGTATGGTCCTTCCCACGTTGGAAGGAGTTTCCGTGAACCTAGTCCACCTCCAACTGTATATCTCCTGTCTCTACACTTCACTTGGTCCCCGACTGCAAAGGTAATGCACTGCGTCCTTTCTTTCTTTTATCGCTTTAATGATAAAATCATTTATAGCATCTTCATCTTGAGCACCTGGTTTGAAAAGTCCATGACGCTGTACATCAAAGTGTTCTTCAAGCAAAGCATTTTCACTTCGTCCAGATGCAGCGACTTCTCCTTGAAGATACCATGGTTTTACGTCTAACATTCTTTGTTCGAGTGCATCTGTCTCCCTATCAAGCTTTTCTTGCAGGAGTTCGAAATTGTGTGATTTGTTTTCCTTAACCATTTTTCTTAGTTTGAAATAGGAACACGAGTATTTCAAATATTCTTCAATAAAATGTAGCCTCTTTCTCCCTTCAAACCATAACCACAAGTCACCTATCGCGGTAACTGGAATCGACTGAAGTGGTGGTCGTATATACCGGTCACCTTTCATCAGCTGGCACCGTGGACATCCAAGTACGTATCTTGCTACGTCTTCTCTCATACCTGGCCAGTACATACTTTGTCTTAGGAGGTCGGTCGTTCTGGCCACGCCTGTATGCGCTAGCTGGTGACATTCTTCTATCATGTCGTGGCGCGACGATTGAGGTATGACAGCCAGCCAGCTTCCGTCGT